ATCTTGTCGTTGAAGAATGAGTTCTAAATTTTCAAGAAAATTGGTAGAGATCCCCATAGTATTCCTAAAGCTACAATAAAAAGCTTTTGTAAAAATGCTAGAAAACTCAAAGTAAGTGTGTTACAGTTTTTTATATGTTTTTCTATTTAATGGTTCAATCTATTGCATGTATCTGCATTGACACGGGAAGCACTTGAATCATTCATAACAATTGCAGAAGAGGCAAGTAAACTATTGTGGGCCTATAATATGCCTCCAAGTATTACTTTGGGAGGACCTCAGTTGATCTCTATTGCACTTTGTTGAATGTGTTTTATCAATTACTCTGGTGTTATTCCATCTAACATAAAGACCGTTAGTTGTTCCAGTCTTATTTTCATTAATTTTCTGTATCTTCCTGCCACAAGTTTTTTTTTTAATCAGCATCCTGCCTGCTGATCTGCATGAATGTTTATGTTATAATTAATAGAATGGTGTACAATATGTACTGATTGATGATTCCAAAGAGATCACAGTTAGTTGTGCCTCTTTTGGGTTAGTCCCTCGTCTAATCTTTTTCTTTGTAGGTATTGTCCTATCGAGGATGAGTATAATAATCCATCCCTTGCTGAGCTGCAGAAGTATTTAACTGACGAAGATTACAGGTCCAGTGACTTAAATTTTGATGCTTCCAAATGTCAAAATTATGTGCATCATCCCATCCTCATTTTCTCCCTTTCACCGAATATTCTTTAATCTCTTTTTGGACCAAAGGCATTGCTTTATGCATATATAAAAGCTTTCTTTTATATGACAATAGGTTAATACTACATGATTCTGTTGTATAAAATGCTTTACTAATGCTCTGCTGATTGATGCTTGTTCTTTTTGCAATTTTTCCCTTGTTTTCAGTTCATTTTGCTAATCTTTTCCTTTTCACTTTCTATTGAGAAAGGCAAAACATCGACAAAATGGAACCCAAGTTAATTTGTTTGATAATCTTTATAGCAACAATATAGGTCCCACTTTAGTATTGTGTTGATATGTTATGACTGTTTCTTTATTGTTGATCTGCAATTCAAATCACGATGATAAATCTTTGTTACAAAACATATTCTTCTATTTATCTGTTTCAGCATTGCCGTGGGATTCTATATTCTTCTAAGATCTTTTGGCCGCTATGCTGCAAATTTTAACCATTTTCCTGGGTAGTTTGATGGGTAAGCCTAGCACTTCGTAGTTTCTCTTGCTTCTGTTATCAAAATCTGAGGTTTGCATTCTATCTATGTGATCATTGTTTTGCAGTGGACTGGATGAGGATATATCTCGGCTAAAAACAACCGCTGTTAGCCTACTTAATGATCTGGGTTGTACTGGCTTAACATTGACAGAAAACCTTATTAAAGAAATGTGCCGATTTGGTGCCGCGGAGCTCCATGCTGTTGCTGCCATCATTGGAGGAATTGCATCCCAAGAAGTGATCAAGGTAAGCATTTTAGTCTCTCGTCGGCTGTGTTTCAAATTCATATTTCGATTGTCCTGTAGAGAAAATTACTGAAAAATGGTTTTACATGGTTTACATGACTTGATAAGCACCGTCTGGCACATTTGTATTCAATGCGATTGATCACAGATCTCAGTTGTCGACTCTGTACTAGAACTTCAAGCAAAGCAATTTTTGGAAGGAAATGGTTTGTATTCCTCTTATTTGATGCAAGCTACTTTGTGCAATGTTGATTTCAAACGAAGAAATGTTCCGACTTCTGGATTTGTTGGCTGATTCAGTCGAGAGATGGGATGGTAAATTATTTGCAGGTATAGGTTTGCCTCTCCTTATGTAAAAGAATTTTGGGATTGAGGCAGTATTTTGTATCTTAACAAAAAGACAGCTACTTTTTATTTAGCTTATAGAACAAAGGTGCAGCAATGCTAAATGTGTTGGCAGTCCTTGTTCTCTTATCCAAACCTCTGATTTGCCCATTTATTTATAAGACAAAAATATGGATAGGTAAGGAATCCTGCCCTGCTTGAAAGTTGAAACGGTAGGATTCAGCATGCTGATCCGGCTATGGGTCGAGCCTGGATCAAGTTTTGTATGTATCATATAATTCGAGCAGATCTGGGCTTGGGCAAAGTAAAATTGAAGTGCTCCAGGTCCGGTTCCAATCCAAGACTGGCGCACAACTTTGAGGGACATAACCAATCTGTAGTTAAGATTAAGGTGTAAATTAACCAGACTTGAATGAAGGTTGTGTTTGCTTATTTATTTTTGAAGGTATGTATGTTCGGTTTTTGTTTGTTTAAATTTTTAATAGCGTCTGTTTGTTTATTTTTTAAAGTGTTCATGATCGATTTGTTTAGTGTTTGTTAAGGGTGTTAAAATCCGGGTACCCGGTTTTCTGGGTACTCGAAGTGTCGGGTACCTGGGTCTTCAAGTAGTTGATTTGTTGGCTCGTGTCCCGACTCAGATGTTGCGGGTACCCGTAATTCGGGTATCCGATACCTGGTTTTTTCATTTTCAAATTATTAATTTTAAAAAATATATACATAAATTTAAATGTTCAAAACTTCGAATTATATATTCCAACATCCAAACATAAAATTTAAAAGTTCGAAATACAAAATTTAATAATCTATAATATAAGTAAAACATAAAAATTCATAGCTAACTAGGGTAAATATGAATGATAGTTATTAACATCCAATTACTAAACTATCAAAACTTAATCCAATTATAATCCAATTACAAATAATATCAATATTTATACAAATTATCAGGTTAATGGTTTAGTAATTGGATTATATATATATATATATATATATATATATATATATATATATATATATATATATATATATATATATATATATATAAACTAAGTAATTGGGTAATCGGGTACTTGGAAAAATTTAATTTTGTGATCCGGGCCCAACTCGGGAAATGTCGGGCCAGGTACCCGACCCAGTCGGGTAATTTTTTTTATAGAAAATAACCACTTTTTTTAGGTTTGGGTTGGCGGGTCGTCAGGTCGGGTCAACTGGGTCAGATATTTTTGCACACCCCTAGTATTTGTGAACATGTTCGCTTAATGTTTAAAAATATATTTGTTTATATGGTTTGAGTCCCCTCTACAACTAATTCTATTTTTACATTTTATTTGCAAGTCAAAGAAAAATGGTGAAATTACGTCATTAGTATTTAAGTTTTTGTGTTCAATTTAGTCTCTACGTTCACTAATATTTAAAATGTAAAAAAAAATTAATGGAAAAGGATATAACCAGATAAACGAGCTTATTAATGAGTTTTTTGTTTGTATTCGTTTATTTATCTTAATAAAGTATTAAGGTATAAATAAACATTATAGTAATGCTTTACGATCAATTCATTGGATATTTTGTTCACGTTCCCTCTTAGTTAGGATGAGCAAATATATTATATGAATTTAGGCTGCGACTAGAATGTGGATGAAGTATTACAAATCACTAGCCAAATTGGGAGAGAGAGAAACTGTACGTTGAAACTGCTTTTGGTTCATTTTGATAGGGGCTGTGGAGAAATATCCCAAGTTACCAGGTCTATGGCTATGGCAGGGAACAGTTTATTTTATTGTTGAATCAAAGAAATTTACTGCAATTAACTATGATAACGTTGGTTACATGTGTAACTATAACGAATCTTTATAGATCTGGTAGGTTTAACTTACTGGCATTTATTACTTTAAGAGAAGTCCATTTGCTTTACATCTAATAGAAGCATCACATGCGGCCTTATTACTCAAGTTTATGAGAATTTCCCATTTGCTGATTTTAGGGCTGTAATAATGCAATGGTACTTGACACATGGAAAACTAAATGCCTGTTTGAGGTGAACCATTGTGTAAATGAAATGGATGTTGATGAAGATATAATAAGCGTGGCACCTCGGTCGCTTTCACAGCTAACTTGACTTTCACATGTGAAAAGCCTGGAACCTGAAAAGCTACCACCAATGCGACATGCATCACTGTGCATACTAGGGATGCTTATTGACAGACCCGTTTATGAGATTTATGTGGCCTTAGTACAAATTAAAAAGTTGGACCTTTATTTTGTTTTTGATCATCTAATTATTTTTTAAAATAATACTTAACATTATATTTTGATTTCATTTTGATCACACATCGTTAAAAACTAATAAAACTTTTGACGATGCATTTTAATTTTTTTAATGAAGACATGACATTATCTTATGGTGACATATCAACACCACCATTAATTTTTTTAGTGGTGGGTGACCAAAATGAAGCAAAAACTAAACGTTAGGTATGGTTTTGAAAAAAATAATTGAGTGACCAAAATGGAACAAAAGTTATACTTGAGGTACTAACCATGTAGTTTACCCAATTTTTAACTGGGGCCCTGGGAAGGTGCCCCTCCTGCCCATGGTCAGCGATGCCCCTGCTTATTGAGCGAGTCGATCATGAGTTGGGTAGTGCTACATTTATACTTGTTGAAAATTTTATTGTTCGATTCGATTCATTGTTCGTTAAATTTTGCTCGACACGTGCTAGTTAAAAGAAAACTTATTGCTCATTGCTCGTTAAGCTCACTAAAAATTTTATCTTATTTTTAAACTATAGGTAAAATCTACTAATACTATGTAGAACTTAATATAAACATAAATTAACAAATTTAACAAAAACATTATCAAAAGAGTGTATGGAGTAATTTCAAAGTCTAAACTCCAAAGTAACAATCCACAAATACAACAAACTAACATTAAAAAAGTGGTATTCGTCACTTACGTTTTGGTTCATTTAGTTTTGTTCCCTCTATCGTTAACTTCCGCTAATCCATTAACAGAAGTCTGAGTTGACAATTAAAAAATAACTATAAAATCCATGAAAGCCTGAGTTGATTATTAAAAATAATAATAAAATCCACTGTCATCACTAACGCTATCGTTATTGCCATAGCAGTAACTACCGTTGTTGCCATCGTAATCGCTGATGTCGCTGCACCACAATCACTACTACTATTGCCTATGCTATAATAGCTTTCCCCGTAGCCATTATCGTTGTTACCACTACTGCTAATGCTGTCGTAGTTACCACCGTTATTGTGTTATCATCACCATCATAGTCGTTACAACAATTATTGTCACTATCGCCTTTTTTGATCTCATTATTGCTATCATTATCGCCATTGTTGTTGATACTGCCGCTGTTGTTACTGTTGCCACTATTGTCACTATTATCGTCACTATCGTTGTTGCCACTGTTGTCGCTACTATCACCATTATCGCTGTTATTGTCACTGTTATTACCATTATAACTGCTACTAGTGATGTGTTATTGTCGCCATTATCGTTGTTACTGCCATTATTATTGTCTTGTAGCTATAGTCCCTGTTTACTACTACCATCACTATCGCTGTTATTACCACTATCGCTGCCACCGTTACTTTTATTATTGCCATCTCTGTCACTATTGGTGTTATTATCGTTACTATCATTATTGTTGTTGTTGCTATCATTTTCACTACTGTTACTATAACTATCGTTATCGCTGCTATCACCGCTATCATAATTGCCACCATTGCTATTTTCGTCACTGTCATTGACACTACTACCTTCGATGTCACTATCTTTGCTATCATTATTGTTGTTGTTATCTTTGCTACCACCATTATCAATTTCGTTGCTATCATCGATGTCGTTATTACAGTCATCACCATTATAGTTGTTGTCACTTATGTTATCATTGTTATTATTGTTATCATTTCTTTCGAGGTCATCACTGTCATTGCCATCATCGCTGCCTCTTTTATCATCATCGTTGTTGCCATCACCATTGTTGCTACCACTGTTACCGCTATCACTGATGTCACTACTATCACTGCTACTACTATTATTGTTATCCCTATCGTTTCCATCTCCACTATCATTATTGTAGATGCTATCATTATTGCTATTGTCACTATTATCATTGTTGTCATTTTTGCAACTGCTATTGTTACTATCAACGTTGTCGCCACTGTTGTTGCTATTGTCGTTATAGTTGTTACGACCACCATCGTTGCCATTGTTATCGTCGTCATCATTGCCACCGTCGTCGTTACTGTCATTATTCTCTTTGTCGCTGTTGCCACTATTATTGATGTTACTATTATCGTAGCTATTTTTGTCATTACTATTACTATTATCACTGTCAATACCATTATAATTGCTATTAATGATGTCATTGTTGTCGCTATTATTGTTGCTACTGCTACCATCTTGTCTTTATTGCCATCACCATCATAGTTGTCATCGCTATGGCTACCAGTGACATCGTAGTTGTTGTCATTATTATAACCACTTTTATCTTCATTATTGCTATTGTCATCATCATTATCGCTGCTTTTATCACTATCACTACTGTTTTTGTCACATTTACCACTACTATAGTCACTGCATATTACCATCATTGTCACCACTGGCTCTGTTATTATTTTGTCATTATTGTCGTCATCATCATTGTCGCTATTGTGGCCACTATCACTGTCACTGCTCCCATCATTATCATTGTTATTTTTGTCACCATTATCATTGTCATCGATGTCACTACAATCGTTGCTTTCATTGTCACATATGTCGCTATTGTCATTGTTATTGTTGATGTTATTACTCTCGTCATTGTCACCACTATTTTTATGTCATCATTGTCGTTGTTGTTGTCATCATTATCATTTTCATTACTTTCATCGTTATCAATGTCATTATTGTTGTTTTCATCGTCATTTTAACAACAATAAATATAGAGATAATAACAATAAACAACAATGACGCCATATAAGAAGAAAAAGAAGAAGAATGATACGTAGATTTTTAAAAAAAAATTAGAATTGTCAACTCATATTTTATAAATGGATTAACGATTGAGAGACTAAATCCAAATGAATCGATAACGTAAGCTAATCATATTTTTTTGAATAAAAGAGATAGACAACCATTAGAGAAATATTAGCTCACACTGACATCAGCTACCGCAGAAAGGTGACGAGCATTGCCCAATAAAGCATCTTTGACATTTTCTGGTGTTGTTCGATAGGTATGCTGACCAAACGGAAGATTCCAAGCCATTTTCGCTAGTATATCGACCTAGTTACTTATATTTTTTGATCTTCCTCAAGCTTCTTCTTTTACATATGGGATCTTCTCTCTTTTGATAAGTACGAGTGAATTTAAATTAAAGGTTTTTCTCTTGTTTTTAGTTTAATATGTAGTCACTAAGGATTAACTATTGTTAGACCTTTAACAAATTGAAATTATAAAATTAAAAGGGATAATGTAATACCAAAAAAATTTGTTAGTGATCAAAATGAATAAATTGATAGTTTGGTAACCAAACTATAAATTTGGGAAATGTTTAGGGACCAAAATAGTGATTTTACCAAAATATGGCAAAGACAACTTTCAAGACTAGGTATGGCCATTATGAGTTCTTAGTAATGTCATTTGGACTTACCAACGCTCCAACGACGTTCATGGACCTAATGAACCGAATTTTTCATCCACACTTAGACTAGTTTGTGGTGGTGTTTATAGATGACATTCTGAAATACTCCCGATCAGAGGATGAGTATGATCAGAATCTCTGTATTATTCTTTAAACCCTCAAAGAAAGACAATTGTATGCCAAATTCAAAAAATGTGAGTTTTGGCTATCAAAGGTATCCTTTTTGGGATACGTCATGTCAACATATGGCATCAGAGTTAACCCCAAAACAATTTAAGCCATAGTTGAGTGGAGCCACCTAAGAATGCGTCTGAGGTGCGTAGTTTCCTTGGATTAACTATGTACTATTGTCGTTTCATTCAAGGTTCTCGATGATAGTCTCCCCGTTGACCAAAATGCTTCAGAAAGTAGTCTCCTTTGTCTGGAATGAGAAACGACAAGAGAGCTTATACTTTTGAAGGTCATTTTGATCCAAGCCCCAGTGTTAACCCAACTAGAGTCGGGTAAGGACTTTACAGTTTTCAGTGATGCTTCATTGAACCTCAGATATCACATATGGGTTGAGTTACTTAGAGATTATGACTGTGTGATAGACTACCACCCAGGGAAGGCAAATGTAGTGGCACACACTATAACACCCCCAACCCGTATCCGACCCGGATCCAAGTCCGAAGTGTCACATTGACTTTTCAAAACCTTTACTTGTATAAAATAGTGAGTAATTTAAAATTTATTATTACATATAACTTATTCAAAACCTTTATTGAACTATTCAGAGGTTATACAATATATTATTTTGAATACATGCCAACTAGAACTTTATGTATTAAAATACATATTATTCACCTTTCTTCTGATCTGACCTTTGGTAAGGAGAACTGACATGTCTTGCTCCACATTCCTCTTTACTCTTCTCACTTTGGTAACCTACGTGTGAAACAATCACACGCTAAGTCTATGACTTAGTGAGGCAATAAACATAAAATATAAACTATAGCTTGTAATCATGCATGAACAATTACTACTATCACTCATACCCTTATTCATGTAACAAATCCCTATAACACATATGCAATATATCATTACATATAAGAACATATACACACATATATTCATCACTCATCATTTCCATCATTAGCCTTATTTCATTATCAATATTATTATCGTTTATATCACTTAATACATATCCTCTTATACCTAGCATTTTAACCAACATTTGCCTCACACATATCATCATATAAATCATATAATACCATTCATAGCACAAAAACATACAAATCACATGTAATATATTTGTTGTTTTTCCTTATTAGCCCATGTACACATGTGAGAACTATAGATATGTGAGTCTATAGTGGTTGTGCACTAATGCTGTCACCACAGCTCGTATAAATACACCGAAGTGCCATATAAGGTTGTCTCGAAGGACCACATAGAAAATTCCTTAAGAATCATATACATATACCAAGGATCAAGTATTTATCTCAAAAGACCTCACACATGTTTTAAAGAATACATATATGTTCCGAAGGACCGCGTAGACCCTCGACTCTTGGCATGCCAACTATACCCTAGCTCTCATGACACATAACATGGGCATCATCATTTATGTCATTTCACATTTTCACATAAACACATAGTTCACTTTCACATAGCACGTAGATTATGTCACATAAGTTGAATCACATATATGTATAAACACTTAAATCACTTTCACATATCTTGTAGCTCATATCCACTTTTCATACTATTTCACATTTCTTGTCATATTGCTTATATCTTATTTTTATGTCTTATCCTATATATATATATATATATATATATATATATTCACATGTTCATATAATCCATCATTTCATCATCTAAATGTGCATTCATATAATTCATCTTCATATATATATATATATATATATATATATATATATATATATATATATATATATATATATTTATATATATCTTTTTTCCTATACTTGTATTCACATTATTTATATTCTCCTTCTCATAATCTCACATGTCCTGATTAATAGCTTATATCATATATGTATAAAATAACTTATCTCATATCATATAGCTTATACCTCATTCTATGATATTCACCTAGATTATATCACCTCTGTCATACTCATAAACATATGTCACTTCTATTATTTAATTTATATACTAATCTAATCTATTTGCCTAATTCAATTCATTCTATAACTTTCTAATATGACTACGTAGATTTCCATCATACAACCCATATATCATAATTTTATTTAAGCATATGTATCTTTCCCATCTAACTCATTTTATATGTTCCTATTATCACTTATGTTCATGTCTCATATCATCATATAGGTCAATATTATCTATCTTGTTTCAATTCTCATTCAATGATATAATTTTATTTTACTATTTCACATAAATGTTCATACCACTATTCACTTACCCAACTCACATTCTTATTGTTTATATAACCTTTACACTTGATTACTTCATTCCTATCATTTCTTCTAAACTCGCTTTTTACCATATTCCCATATTATTACCTAATTTATCCTATATCATGTATTCGCGTAATCTTATATTCCATTTCTATATATCTCAAAGATCTTATCACATAACTTCTCTTTTATATTCATATAATTTCTTATCATATCATATAGTTTATATCATCATAACATATCATATATTCACATCAACCATGAAATACATATACAATAACATGTCAACACATACCATAACATATAACTCAGACACTCATAATAAACACATGTTCATGTTCATGCTTCATGCACAATACTATAGAAAATAGACTTGTCGCAAGTCTTATTTCCCATTAAACATCATATATAAAATAATGCGCACTCACCTTGGCCTCACTAAGTTCCAATCCATTTTTATAATTTCCTCTCTTGCGATCGAATCATAACTTGATAATCGTTTCGGGACTTGTTCGTGCTCGATATCTATATAATCATACATTGATACATATTAGTATCCAATTGATATACACTAATCTATCATTTCTTAGACCAAAAGAGAGGTATAATTCTATTTCGCTTGAAGTGCATCGATGCACTACCCATGCATCGATACACCAATCACCTTTGATGTTTTCATTTTAAGGGGGTGCATCGATGCACTAATTGCATTCGATGTTTCCATTTTTAATGGGTGCATCGATGCACTTCCTGTGCATCGATACACACTGAACAATTTCTGGAAATTTACCCTTGATGCATCGGTGCACATTGAATGTGCACCGATGCACATAGCCCAAAATTCATTTTTAAGCCTGAAAATCTACTCAAATCAACTCAAATGCTTCATCTTTCAACCCCTTTCATGTTCTCAACTCATATACACATGCTTAAACCAATTTATATCCATATAAACCATCTTTAACTTCAAAATTCTATTCCTCATATGTAACTCAAGAATTAAACCAACTTTGCAATATGTTTTAATTCAATTCTATGGCTTCTAACTTCTTAATTAGAATATTGACAAGTCAAATTTAACTTCCAAATCTAGTTATGAACTCTATTTTAAGATTTCACCCAAGAACCTCAAATCTTCAATCCCTCCTAACTCCATCATACTTTGATTTTAAGATAACTTAAGCTTTCCTTAAGCTTAGTTATCATCTAATAATCAAAACCCAACCTTAAAATCAACAATTAATCCATAAACAAAGAAACTCACCTTTGAGCTTTGAGATACGGGAGGAGGAAGAAGAATAAGAAAGAAAACTCTGGATAATTCTCTCTTTTCTCACGTGGTTCATTTTCTTATAAAAGAAATATAAAAATCTTACATGTTAATTTACCCTTTTACCCTTTAATTCATTCAATTATTACTAAATAACCTTCATCATATTTCCAATAAATCATTGAACTATTCAATTATCCTACTTTAATCACCAATTTTTGAAACTTTACAATTTGGTCACTAACCCAGTATTGAGGATGTTACACACACCTTGAGCTGATAGTCGATGATAGAGTTACAAGCCTTCATAGCATATTTGAGTTGTTAGCTGAGTTGCAAGTCGAGCCATATATGGAAAGCAAAGTCAAGAGTCTGTAGAGTTCAAATGGTCGATTGAGAACTTGGGTTAAGCAGATTTATCATGGTGAGACCCTTCGTACTTCGAGATAGAGATGTATTGTACTTTAGGGGTCAGTTGTGCGTACCCACATGCACTTAGTTGTGTAGTAAGATTCTCTACAAGGCATATTGCAATCCACTCTCAGTGTACATGGGTAGTAATAAGATGTATCAGGAGCTTCGCAGATTGTTTTATTGTCCTGGTATGAAAAGAGAAGTATAAGAGTTTATCACTAGCTGTTTAGTGTGCCAACAAGTGAAAGTAAAACACCAGGTTCCCTCAAGTTTGTTTCAACCCACTTAGATTCCTCAGTGGAAATGGGACAGGGTAACCATGAACTTTGTGCCAATTTACCGATGACCAGACAGAGACACAACGCAGCTTAGGTCATAGTAGAACGTTTAACCAAATTAGGTCACTTTATTCCAGTTAGGATGGATTATACTCTAGAGAGGTTAGCTCAGTTGTACATTTGCGAAGTAGTGAGGTTACACGATGTACCAACTTCTATCTAGGGGTGTGCAAATC